GTGTGTGTGTGTGTGTGTGTGTGTACATGTATGTTTTGGGTTTTACATAACTGAGTAATAATGTGTCTATTATTCTGAGTCAGTATGCGTGTCATGGACGATTAAGTTTAACTTTCCCAGAGCTTCTGTCATATGTCATAACTATTACTTCAACTTCCTGAGTTCCTACCTGCTTAATTGCAGATTATAAGGTTGTGGCTACGTTAGTGTCATATGGGTGGGTATTTATGGTGGTATTTCGTGAAGATTTTCATCTGGAGCCCGTTAGCGTTTGTCTTGGTTTTTGATGAAATGGTTGTTCACGTGATTTGTCGAACTGGGTAGCTTACGATTGTCAAATGTTGATGTGTTCTCAGTTCTAAAATACTGATTCTATAAGGAACTTTTGGATATTGGGATTTGAAATGCGTGATTTGAATTTTAGATTTTTTGCAGCGCTATTTTAAAGAAATTCAGGAAATCAAGACGCATCTAAAATAGTAAAAGGGGCACGATTACATTGGAGTCCTTGACGCTGGGCGACTCAAATCACTTATTCAAAACGTTCGTGAAATACAAGAAATACGAAATTAGCGCCTACTTTTCCCACTGGTAAGATAAAAGCTACCATTTTCGTACCACCCTACTTGGCTGTATATGTTAGCGGGGCATTATAGATAGTACCTGCTTCTACTCGAGACTCGAGTGATCACCACGACCCACCAAAATTATCACTCAGGTTCGCAAACACTGATCAAATTGTTGTTTTTTTTCTTCTTATTTTTTTTTTACTTTTCGGACAATAAAATATAGGGCACACGAGTGTTCCACCAAACTGTTTCTTCCAGTGATCTTGAAGACATAAACTATTTCAATGTTAATCATATTAATATGTTTTATCTAAACAATGCCATAATATCTGAGGTATTCTAGGAGCTCGGAGTCATTTTGAGGCAGCTGCAGTACTATAGAAGAACGTCCCTGGGTTTAGAAACAATTGTTACTTTTTTACAACAATGATATATTTTGTTAAAGTATTTGTGTTTTCACCCCCCCCCCCCAAAAAAAAAAAAGAAGGAATTAATAGAAAACAATAGAAACCACTTGTGAAGGAGACTACTTGTTAAGGAGATGGAATGTAGTGTTGCGTTGAATGCTGGCGTTGAAGAATTCTCTCAGCGATCAAGGGAGGCACTTTTGTATTCCGATCTTTCGTGGGGGTAATGCATCTTTTGAGGGATGTGACCAACAGGGGATAGATGAATGATGAATGAATGAAGGAATGATTGAATGAATGAAAGCATTACGTTTCAATGTTAAATAAAAGTTCTACCAAGTAGTTGCGTCCAACATTAGATAATTTCATTGTACTATTCATTCTAAGAATGAGAGAGCAACGAAAGTTTCAAAACGAACTTATATCAATGAGTCTGTGAGTCTGTGAACGACTATCTCCCCCCCCC